CAGATAAGGAGCTTGAGCAACTGATGAAAACACTGCCCATTGATGGTAAGCCACGAGAACGTACCATGCCTCCCAGGGAACTTGACCTTATGGGTCAGCATGAGCAGCTCCTAATCATTTAATAGTACAGTTTTGCCCCAAAATGCCATAAATCAATAGAAAGGCACTTTTGACTTGAGAATAAATTTCATCATTATCTCCTCAAACACAACTTGAGTCATCTCTAAGTGACTAATACTGTCCCTCAGGTCAGCATTAGGTTAGCAATATGAACAATGAAAAATAATAAAAAAGAAAGGAATAGAACATCAGTAGAATAAAGCAAAAATATTTTTATGTATTTTGTAGAATTGCACTGTAGGAGAGTTAAGCTAATAAATGTCTCTAATACTAAGTAATAGATAAGTTTGCTACTGTGAAAGATATTTATATTCTTAAATGTCAATATTGTGGCTATAAAATAGACTAAATTTTAAAGCACATCATTAAAATGTAACTTTTTGTAATATACAATTTATAATTTTTCAGTGAATTTTTATGTCAATTTTCCAGAGATCTGAATTGTACCTTTTTTTACAGCTCATGGAAAGGTATTTCAAAACAGATTGCTGAAGGATGTGAGGAGTAACAAAAGTAAGCAAACATGGTTAGGCTTGTGAAATATCCTCCTCAAGTGTTTTTTTTTTTTTTTTTTCATAATTTCTAAAATGTTTTTATTTATTTTTTTTCTCCTCAAGTGTTAAATTCATATCAAGAAACTATAATACTTTATTTTGCTTCTTGTTTTGCTTCTTACATCTGTGTTTTTTCCTGGTAAAAACCTTTACTTTATCTTAGAAGGAAGTTCTCTGATAGATTGCATTTTTCTAAATTTTTCTGAAAAAAAAATTTATATAAACAAATAAAAGAAAGATGAAAGAAAGAGATGAAGGAAAGGAAGGAGGGAGGGAGCAGAAGGAGTAGGAAGGAAGGCAAGAGGGAGAGAGGGAAAAGTTTTGCCATTTATTCCAGATGTGACCACGAATAGAGAAAAGAATCTAAGAGTAAGCACTGAGGGGGGAAAATGATACTCTCTAATGCTAATGCTAATCTCTACTTCTTTGTGAAGAGTACTGATTAGTGCTCTCTCATTATAGTTGCTTAACTCCTATCCCACCTAACTTTTTCCTGAGCAGGTGTGCTTAAGGTTTGAGGAGAGAAGTACTAATCTTACTTTAAACTCTTTCTAACTCTGCTTGTAAAGAGCTGGAAAAATCTATTGTAGTTTTGTTCTTTGCTTGGCAATATTAGCAGTTATACCAGGTTATGATGTCATTCTCTTTTATCAGTGTATATTCATGTAACAGTAATACCTGTTACTGTCTCAAAGAGATATCTGCCGTCTTGTGTTTATTGCAGCATTATTTACCATAACCATGACATGGTATGATGGCTGAATGAATAAATAAAATGAAAATGCGGGGTGTGTGTGTGTGTTTGTGTGTACACACAATGGAATATTATTCAGACATTAAAATACAAAGAAACCCTACCATCTGCAACACTATAAATAGAGGGTATAAGTAAATAAGTCAGAGAGAAAAAGATGGACATTTTGTGATCTCAGTTACACATGGTATCTTAAAAAACTGAACTTATAGAAATAGAAAACTGGTAGTTTCCAGAGGTCTGGGGGTGGGGAGGGCAGTGGGTGAAGGTAATCAAAGGATACAAATTTCCAGTTGGAAGGTGAATAAGTCCTAGAGATGTAATGTACAGCACAATGACTGTTATTAACAATATTGTTAATACTCTATAGTATTTTTGAAAGTTAATAATGGTATAAATCTTAACAAAAGTTCTTACCTCAAAATTATAACTATGAGAAATGTAAATTCATTAACTATCCTTATTTTGGTAATCACTTTGCAGTATATAGATATGTCAAATCATTATGTTGTACACCTTAAACTTGTACAATGATGTATGTCAAATATTAATATATCTCAATAAACCTGAATGGGGGAAACCAATAATATCTGTTAGTTGAAAATAGTAAAATATTTATGAATTTTTAAAATATTTTAGAATCATTCCATTTTTCTTCCTTTCTCCCTTTCCTTTCATGTTTTCAAGGAGGAAAGGTTCATGTAAGTAACCTGGATACTGTGTTAGAAGCCATGGAGGTCAATCTTACAGAAGAGGAACTTGATCACCTGAAGGATCTTCTGAGTGGTGAGCATTGTGGAAAACGTGTGATTTTAAATAGAGGTTGAGCTTGAGGATTAATTATGACTGTTTCAAAGGTTTGAATTATTTACTACCCAAAAAACAAAAAACAAACCTTTGAATAGCTTTCAGGAGAACAACAACAATATGGCTTCATGTTTTTAATCCAGTTAAAACCTGTAATCTATTTCTTTACACATTTTGGGCTGGGAATGGGTGCTAGTGAAAGAGAGAGGGGTTATTTTTTTCTGGTTTTATAAAATAAGATCTGCAATGTGTGTTTTTCACTGATCCTTATATTACTGACATCAATTCAGGCTTTAACCCAATTTTTCCAGCCATTGATTCATGCATTCTTTTTGGTCACTGTAGCAAAAAAATTATAAAATAATATGTATAGTGTTATTAATTTTCTAAAAAGATATGTAGTATTCTTTTGTAAACTAAGGAAAAGTCTGGAAGAATATACAGAAAGCAGTTATTAATGGTGAGGTATGATAATGACAGTGAGAAGTAAAAAGAGGGACTATTTATATGTTTGTGTATTTTTTTTAATTTGTTTTGAAAGGTATGTTTAAATTTCTTTGACTCAATTTATTCTGTTTTTAATTTGAAATGAATGCAAATGATGTGTCAAGTGATAGGGCTTTGGCTGAGTTCTTATCCACCATTTAGTTTCAGGAGATTCACTAAACTGACCACTTACATAATTCAGTTCAGTTCAGCTGCTCAGTTGTGTCTGACTCTTTGCACCAGGCCTCCCTGTCCATCACCAACTCCCGGAGTTTACCCAAACTCATGTCCATTGAGTCGGTGATGCCATCCAACCACCTCAATCCTCTGTCATCCCCTTCTCCCACTTTCAATCTTTCCTAGCATCAGGGTCTTTTCAAATGAGTCAGCTCTTTGCATCAGGTGGCCCCTAGCAAACATTCCTTACAGATTAGCACTAGTCTCCATCTGCCCACTGCATCAACACGTGGCAACACAAGGCATCAATCCTTACAAATATTAGAAAAGATGTATAATTTCAAGAAATAAGTGAAAATAAAGCTGAAGGACTGCTTCAATCACACAGAGCCACTAACAAACGTGGACTTGGCAGAGTTAGACCATTTCATAATTGAGGAAGAAAAATTTTACATGAATAATAATGATAGGCCATTTGAAATAGAATAATTTGGGTTTCAAAGTATTTAAAGGAACCCTTAAAAATCATTTTTCCAAAATTTATTTTTTATATGTCTTTTTTCAGAGTTTAAAGTAGCCCATGTTGTTGTTGCTGTTGTTGTTCAGTTGCTAAGTTGTGTCTGACTTTTTGCAACCCCATGAATTGCAGCATGACAGGCTTCCTTGTCCTTCGCTATCTCCCTGAGTTTGTTGAAATTCAGGTCCATTGAGTCAATGATGCCATCCAACTATCTCATCATCTGTCATCCCCTTCTCCCCTTGCCCTCAATCTTTCCCAGCATCAGTTCTTTTCTAGTGAGTCAACTCTTCACATCAGGTGGCCAAAGTATTGGAGCTTCAGCTTCAGCATCAGTCCTTCCAAAGAATATTATTCAGGGTTGATTTCCTTTAGGATTGACTAGTTTCATCTCCTTGCTGTCCAAGAGGGACTCTCAAGAGTCTTCTCCAGCACCACAGTTTGAAAGCATGAATTCTGCGGTGCTCAGCCTTCTTTTATGGTCCAGCTGTCACATCCGTACATGGCTACTAGAAAAACCATAGCTTTAACTATGTGGAACTTTGTTGGCAAAGTGATGTCTCTGCTTTTTAATACACTGTCTAGGTTTGTCATAGCTTTTCTTCCAAGGAGCAAGTGTCTTGATTTCATGGCTGCAGTCACTATTTGCAGTGATTTTGAAGCCCAAGAAAGTGAAGGAAGCCATAGTGTGCAATAATCTCATTTTCTCAGAAAATCACATCCCAACACATTTTTAAAAGTCAGCATTGATTCTATGGACTAGTTATAACCTGAATTTTCTTGAATATTAGGTAAAATAAACTTATATTCATAATTCAAATTTTTATTTTTCAGTAATACCTTTTGTAGTTTATTTTTATTCATTGTTTACTGTTAAATCTTCATTTTAAGTGTATGTATTTTCCTTGGTCATCTTATAGTAATAATAACTCTTAGATAAAAATACTTCCTATTCTATAGATTTTTTCCTGAGTCCTTATTATTGTTTTCCCCTGATTAAACTATTTTACAGCCTATAAGAAGGTTGATCTGAAAAAAGTGATGGATAGAATAGAAGATGTTACAGGTGAGGAAGAAGTTACCAAATACATATGATTCTGATTCTTTATACAATTTTGTATTTTTTCCTGTTACTTTCTATTTCTTTTTAAATTATGCTATTTTCTAGTAAAATGATTCTTAGACTTTGACTTTGGTTTATCAATGTTTTAACAACAAAACATAGTGCCACATTTTGTTAGGTCCTATGATCTAATTTTTTCCAAATTAATCTAAAATATTTACTAAAAATACATGTTAAAGGAATAAAAATAGTTTCATTACTTTGTTGGTAATCCCCCAAATAGAAAATTATGAAAATCCATTACCATGTACTGTGTTCTTTTGTGTCTACTATTAATAAAATTAAAGAAATAAACACTTCAATTTTCTGCCATAACTGTAGCCAAACAGGACTCACTCAGCTTAATAAAGTCATTGATTAGTTAGGGCTAATAATTAAACAATCATAGATTTCATTATTATATAGAATAATGAAATAGTTCTTTAAAATCTCACATGTTACCATTTCTTTTTTTTTTGGAAGGAGAGGAAGTTGATGTCAATGACATGGAAACAGTTCTAGGAAATATGGGAATAGAGCTCACAGATAAAGAACTGTCAGGACTGGTGAATAATCTGCCAGTTGATAGTGAGTATTTCTAATAAACTGTAGTCATCTAGGGAATATTATTGTTAAACTGTGAAAATTTCTGAAATTACCTCTACCTCACTGCCTGTCAAAAATAATGTTTGAATCTGTGTTATGTAATTTTAAATGGTGCTGTTAGATCTTAAAATATTATCTGTACCATTAAGTTTTAGTTTGAGAATCAACAATTGCATCATCATGACTCCTATTATCAGGATTCAATTATATTTTTTATTACTTTTGATTCTACCAACAAATCCAAAATTTAAGTGAGAATGAATAAGAAAAAGAAAAAGAAGGGAATGATCTAATAGGGGAAAGTGAAAATGTCACAAAAGAAAAGGAAAAGATGTGTTTCACCATAGTAGAGTACCAGTATCTTCACTTTATGTAATCTCATTATTTGTCAGTAAATCAGAAAATGTCTAAGTCAATTCACAAAATATGTCTTACTGAGTTACTGGTTTCATACTGTCTAGGAAACTCTGCATTGTTCTTCTGTGATCTGAATAGTCCTTTCTCTTACAGAGGGAAAGGTCTATCGAAATAGGTTGCTGAATGGTATAAAGTTTCTTAAAGGTGAGTGAGAAACCATTTTATTAAATGCACATCAATCTGAGATCATCATGTTTGGCATTTATACTGTTTCCTTGTGATTAAACGGTAAACCCTGCCACTCAACACTGTATAATTTATTTTATAGATCAACCTGTTCTTTAGGAAATCATTTCTTATGGTGTAACCTGGAAAGAATATCCATGCTCTCTTGGAATTCTTCAAATTTTGACATAGGAAGAAATTATCAGAGCCCAAGTTGACAGAAGTAAAGGGAAAATTAGGACATCCTCAGTTAAATCAGCAGCAGAGACTAGTAATCTGACATTCAGACAAAACAAAAAAACACCAAAAACCTAAAAAGTCTCTGAGGAAGTGAAGGGACCATAAAACTGAAAGAGATGGACAGGAAGCAGGCCATGATGGAGATCAGATCTAAGCAAGATTCCCACTCTTCCATCATTACATACCTCCTTCATGATATCTGTCAAATCCATAAACATTCCTACTACTATTAACATTTTTTATTTTAAATAATTTACTTTTTAACCTGTTTTTTTTTAATTTTTAATTGTAATGGAAAATCAGCATCCCTTAACATAACTAGAAGTTGACTCTTAAACACAGTGAAAACAAGACAATATTAGTAATATTGGAATTATTGTCACCTTGCTAAAATTTTCTGAGAAGTTATTCAATCACCTTTAAATATTTATACTGGATATGCTTCTCATGAAGATTAAGATTAAAACAATGAACTCTAATCCTAACTCCATTATTGTACTTTGTACTCCATTCTTTGTCCTCTTGTAAAGCTCTCATTAGGCTTTGGTCTTTTGGATGAAAATGATAATCATAATATTACCTCAGGAATTGTTCATTGCTCAAAATTCACATTTTAGAGACATTAACTTTTTCTTATATATCTCTTTTTATAAGGAGGGAAGATTGACTCTAGTAAAGTATACACTGTTTTGGAAAACATGGGCATGAACCTCACTGAAAAGGAACTCAAAGATCTAACACAAAATCTACCAGTTGATGGTGAGCATTTTAGATATCACTGAACCCTATGTAAAAAAGAGTCTTATATATCTATTTCTAACAGTCATTTAAAATGCTTGTTTGACATCAAGAAGTATTATGAAAAGTTTAGAAGAAAAACTCAGATTGAAAGAAAGGACACATGCTGACTCTTGCTAGTGTCATGTGCAAATTAGAGAAAGATTTCAAGGTATCTCTCTCTGCTCTTTTTACTCAGCCTTTCCTGAATGGATAGGTTTCACTTAAATCACAGTCCACCTCTTTAGCCACATTTGCTAATGCATGGCATCAGTATTTATTGAAAGGATACTTAATATCAGTATGGCTAGCTTTTATTTTATCTAGTTCAGCTAGAGTAGACCTGTTCTCCAATGACAGCCATCACCATGCCTAGTTACAAAATGTTTTTCTTTGATAAGATCTTTTAAGATCTATTCTCTTAGCAACTTTCAAATATGCAATACAGTATTGCTAACTATAATCACCATACTGTACATCACATCATCATAGCTTATTTATTTTATAACTAGAAATTTGTATTTATTTGTAACTAGAAATTCACTCCAGGAGATAGAGGACAGGGAAGTCCAGCATGCTATAGTCCATGGAGTCACAGAGAGTCAGACATGACTCAGCATCTGAAAAACAACAAAGAAATTTGTACTTTCAAAAAGCTAGCTTTTCTGCAGCAAATGCATGCATGCATGCTAAGTCACTTCAGTTGTGTCCGACTCTGCAACCCTTTGGACTGTAACCTGCCAGGCTCCGCTGTCCATGGGATTCTCCAGGCAAGAATACTGGAATGGGTTACCATGCCCTCCTCCAGGGGATCTTCCTAACCCAGGGATTGAACCCAGGCCTCTTAAGTCTCCTGCATTGCAGGCAGATTCCTTACCACTAGTGCCACCTGGGAAGCCCTCTACAGCAAATAAATGCTGCTAAATTCGTCTGCTGTATACAACATCGTTTTCTTACATTCCTTGCTGTATTTCTGTCTAATATATTCCTTTTCTTACAGTTAATGGTAAAGTTGATCTGGAAAAGGTGATGAATGAAGTGAAACCTTTTTCAGGTGAGTAAGACATTAGTAAAACATGTTAAATGGAATTCACCCTGTATTATATTTTGCATAGTTTTTTCTCAATATTACAAAATAAACTTATTAATGTTGATACTTTATATATTTATTATGGAATATGTACACCTTAACTTTTCTTCTTCTTTGACTTCAGATTATCTAGGATTCAGCCATGAAAATAAGTGGTGATGTTTGAATAAAAAATTATATTTTCTGTTATTTCCAGCAACATTATCCTGGTTTTAACCAGTGTTTAGGTCAGTGGTCACAAATTAGACACCCATGAGTTTAATTCAATCTGTAGTCAATTTTATAAGATCTGAATTCCCTCACAATAGCTGGCATGTTTTCTTTTTGGACAAGGCATGTGCTGTCTACTTCACTATAGCCAGTTTCATTCATTTTTTCTATCTCCAGGCTCCTGCAAGCTTTTGAGTTAATAACTGCTAGTTTACATAGCCAAAATCTAGATAGTCACAGAATATAGGAAGGTGGATATTTTTAGAAAATTTAATTGATAGGATTGCCATAATAATCTCATGATTCAACATTAAAAACAAAAAAGACTAGCTACTTTAAATTACTGACCTATTTCATAATGTAATTTTCTTCTATGATGTCTTGTCATTAGGCTTAAGAGGCTACTCTCTTTATGAAGAATTAAGGAATAAATTCTGATTCACTATCTGTAAACACTGTTCAAATATGTGAGAATATGGAAGTGAGGATAACATTAAATGACACAAGTTTTAAAATTTTTAGATAACTATGATGTCCTAAAATTACCATCTGTTAACAATCCTTTTTTTCTTTCAAAGGAGACAAAGTTGATACTAGTAAACTTGAAAATGTTTTGGGAAACTTGGGGATTAAGCTCACATCTAATGAACGCTTGAATTTGCTGGAGACAGTGCCAGTTAATGGTAAGATTCGTGGGTGCTATCTGGGTTTTTTAGGAAGTCTGATTTTGTGGAACTATTTGAAAAATTCCAAAATAGAGTGAAAATGCTTGAAAACTGTTAAAAAGTTAATGCTAGTACAAAGAAAAGATTCATTGCTTAGATTTGTATTTTAAAATCATCAATCTAACCCTCTCAGTTATAAATTATAAGTTTTGCCTTTGCCATCAAAGTCAAAGTTCACCCTGAGCCCTCAGGTCGTTAATCAGCTGGATTTGAAAATAGATTTTTTTTTTTTTTTAAAGAAGAAGGGTACTTTCCAGGTGGCTCAGTTGGTAAAGAATCTGCCTGCTAAGGCAGAAGACACAAGAGTGGGGGTTCGATCCCTGGGTCAGGAAGATCCCCCAGAGGAAGAAATGGCAACCCATGAAAAATTCCATGGACAGAGGAGCTTGGTGGTAGTCCGATATGACTGAGCACACTCATACCACCACCACCAAAAAGAAGAAGAAAGAAGGAACAAGGGAAATAGGAGTAAAGAGAAGATAAAACAACAACAACAACAAAAAATAGCTATGCATATTTCTGCAGCATAAAATATATATTTTACCAATAAGTGGATAATTTTGTATATTCAGGAAAAACTGCAGTTCTTCACTATCTAATTAAATGAAATTTTAAAATTTAGGAAAATAAAAAATGTTTTTAATTTCATAACACAAAGATAACCACTATTAATATCTTGAAACCTTTCCTTCTAGTGCTTTTAAGATAGATAGCTAGATACATACATTCATACATAATATTGTGAGTGTATAAATTTATTTATAACTCTTATTTTTTCACAATTTAATATGTCATTATAGAAACCTTGATAATGCAGGTAAGCAAAAACAAAACCATCTCTCTTCCTACCTCAAAGCAGTAAATAATGTAAAAAAATCTGAGGTTTATTTTTCCAGTTCTCTGTCTATAAATAGACATCCTTTTTATTTTTGGCAACCCTGTAGATAAATTTTGGCAAACATCCTAAAATTTAGTGAGATTGTATTCCTTTAAATAGAGTTGCAAAATATTTTGTTTTGCCACATTTCCTTCCAGAATATTGTAATTTGAACTCTCACAAATAGTATTTGAGAATGTTATTTTCCTTACATTGTCAATACAGTAAAAAAAGAACATCTCATTATTATGATTAGCTTTATATTCCTTTACCACTGTGAGTGAACATTTTGGTATATCTGTTATCTATTTGCATTTGAAATGTTCTTCAGGCAAAATTTTCTAAATTATTTCTTTCTGAAATTAAGAGATGTGTACTATCTTTCTGATTCCTAAATTCTTTTCTAAAATTAATTTCTAAAGTATCTTTTTTTTATAGCTGATGGAAAAGTGTATCAGAAAAGGTTGATGAAGGGCATAAAATCTCTCAAACGTGAGTAAGAAGCATGCTAAAAAGACTTAATCTGAAACCTTTATTTGCATTGTCAAAATAGAAATCCTCCTTTCCTACATAATCAAGTCTTTATTTATACTTCTTTCAGTAGATCTGCATTTTGCCAGGTATTTACCGAGTACTTTTCTGTACTAAGATTTGGCAGGAAACTTAAATTTTCCTAATTCAGCCCCAGAGAAATAAAATTCATTTTAAAATGCAAACAAAAGGTGAAGAATGAAGGCTGTCAGATTAAGATTTAGGTCTAAAGCAGAAACAATTTGAAATTATAGACAACAAAAATAACGACTATTTTGCAGAATATTATGTCAGTCACCTCTAGCTCTAGCTTTTCAATATTCCCAACACAAAATTGGAGGTAATTAATTCAAATTTTTATTGTATTAGCTGGACAAGACTGACATTTTGGTGTTTGTCTTAAAAATGTTAACAATAATACTAAGAAATGAATGAAGTATTTTTATTGTAATAAAATACATGCTCAGTAAAGAAGAATATTAATATAGAGTGAATGTGTTTTAGAATCATGCAATTTTACTATATTTCTTTCCTATCCTCTATTTAGGAGGCAATATTGATGTCAATAAGCTGGACACTTTTTTAGAAAGCATGGGAATCAAGATCACAGAAGAAGAATTCATGGATTTGATAGAAAAACTACCGTATGATGGTGAGCACTGTAACCACTCTTATACTTTCTCAGGCCTATTGAGTCTTTTTTTTTCTGTCCATCTTTCAGTCAGTTCAGTTCAGTTCAGTCGCTTAGTCATGTCCGACTCTGCGACCCCATGAATCGCAGCACACCAGGCCTCCCTGTCCATCACCAACTCCCAGAGTTTACTCAAACTCATGCCCATCGAGTCGGTGATGCCATCTAGCCATCTCATCCTCTGTCGTCCCCTTCTCCTCCTGCTCCCAACCCTCCCAGCATCAGAGTCTTTTCCAATGAGTCAACTCTTCGCATGAGGTGGCCAAAGTACTGGAGTTTCAGCTTCAGCATCAGTCCTTCCAAATTGACGCATAACATTGTGTAAGTTTAAGGTACACAATCTGTTGATTTGATAGACATATATTGCAAAATGACTATCACCATAGTGTTAGCTAACACCTCCAACACATCACATTATTATAATTCTTTTCTAACATTTAAGATCTAGTCTCCAAGCAGATTTCAAGTATACAATTAGTATTATTAACTATAGTCTTTACCATATAAAATGTAGCATTCTATACATTAGATGCTCAGAATTTGTTCACCTTATAACTGGAAGTTTGTACCCTTTGACCAACATCTCCCCGTTTCTCTAACCCCCAGCCCCGGTAACTCTCATTCTGTTCTCTGTTTCTGTGGGCTCAGCTTTTATATGTATGTATACATATATATATGTTTTTGTGGGTGGTATCATATCATATTAGTCTCTCTCAATCTGATTTGTTTCAGTTAGCATAATGCTAACTGAGTCTTTTCCAATGAGTCAGTTCTTCACATCAGGTGGCAAAGTATTGGAGCTTCAGCTTCAGCATCAGTCCTTCCAATGAATATTCAGGACTGATTTCCTTTAGGATTGACTGGTTTGATCTCTTTGCAGTCCAAGGATCATATTTTTTCTTCAGGAACTTCCATGCTGTTTTCCACAGTGGCTTTACCAGTTTACAGTGAACAAAGGTTCCCTCTTCTCCACATCCTCCCCAGCATTTATCTCTTGTCTTTTGTTATAATGATAATAGTCATTCTTACAGTTGTGAAGTGTTAGCTCATCGTTATTTTTGTTACCTATAATTTCAAATTGTTTCTGCTTTAGACCTAAATCTTAATCTAACAGCCTTCACTCTTCACCTTTTGCTTTTTATTTTAAAATGAATTTTATTTCCAAGAAAGTTTTCTGCCAAATCTTAGTACAGAAAATTACTTGGTAAATACCTGGCAAAATGCAGATCTACTGAAGGAAGCATAAATAAAGACTCAGTCCCAACAAACTCAACTCAGCTATCCCAACTCAATCCCAGCTCAACCAAACTTGCTCATTTTGGTTTTGTATATCTCGGATAATTAGTGACATTGAACTTCTTTTCATGTACATGATGGCCATTGTATGTCTTCTTTGATATACAAAGATGACTGTTCAGTTCCTTTGCCCATTTTTAATTGAATCATTTTTATATCGAGTATACATTTTGAATGTTATATATGTCATATTAATTCCTTATTAGATATATGGTTTGCAAATATTTTCTCCCATTCCATAGCTTGCCTTTTTATTTTACTTATTGTTTCTTTTGCTGTGCAGAAGCCTTTTGGTTTAATGTCATCTCACTGGTTTATTTTTGTTTTTGTTGCTTATGCTTTTGGGTCATATCCAAAAAATCATTGCCAATATTTACATCAAGGAGATTTTCCCCTATTTTTTTTTCAGGAGTTTTACAGGTTCAGGTGTTACATTTAACTGTATAATCCATTTTGACCCTGTTTTTGTGAGTGGTGTAGAATAAGTAGTCCAGTTTCATTATTTTGCATGTGGTTATCCAGTTTTCTGAGCTCTTTTTATTAAAGAGACTGTCATTTTCCTATTGAGATTTCTTGGATGCCTTGTTGGCAGTTAACTGTTTATCTTATACCTGTACTTATTCTATGCATTTCAGTCTAGAACTGTCTTTTTATCTAGTATGACAAAGTCAAGTGATTGGTAAGATAATCTAAAAATCCAGCTAAAATAAAGAATCATAAAAATGATATTTACATACTTTAAACATTTTATTTGACTGAAAAAAATTGGGCCAATGTCATTTTTATTTAATGTAGTTATGCTTTGGGGGGATTTTCTTGCACAAACATACCCATTTATCATCTACTCTCCCATTTTTAGTTTCTCTTAAGTGGAGCAAAGTGATTTTTTTTTAAGTTGAGCAGAAATCTCAGAGTCCATCTAGATTTAATTCTTGCTTCAATCTTTCTACTTTTACCTTATCCACACCAAATTCAACAGAACTATTTTTTAGTAAACTTGCCCTCACATAAACTTTCCAAATTATTCAAATTTGTTTTAATGATAACTCCTTTTTCTATTTATAGTTCATCAGTTTATACAGTGATTATCACCAATTTAATAAGTATAACTATTTATAAACAAGTCTAGAAATAAACTAAAAAACTCAACCCATAAGAACACAGATGCACTGGCTTACTAAAGCATAACCTACTAGATATGAAAGTTACGGCATTCCATCAGCATCAGTCTAAATATTTTGCAGTAAGAATGAAGAATGAAGTTCAGACTGTCAGACTGTTTAAATGCAGATCAATTAAGAGATCTTCTCTTGTATCAATAAATCTCTATTGAGACATAGATTGTCCACTGGCAATCTCAACTCTACATATAAAAAGCAACTATTCTCCATATTAAATTCATTTCTAATTCTTGTTGGCGGGGGGGGCGGTGTGTGTGTTTGCCTGTGTTTTGTGTATGTATGTGTGTATATTTTTGTCGAAGCTATGGTTTTTCCAGTAGTCACGTACAGGTGTGAGTTGGGCCATAAAGAAGGCTGAGCACTGAAGAATTGATGCTTTTGAGCTGTGGTGTTGGAGGAGACTCTTGAGAGTCCCTTGGGCGGGAAGGAGATCAAACCAGTCAATCCTAAAGGAAATCAGTCCTGAATATTCATTGGAAGGACTGATGCTGAAGCTGAAGTGCCAAACTTTGGCCACCTGATGTGAAGAACTGACTCATATGAAAAAACCCTCATGCTGGGAAAGATAGAAGGTGGGAGGAGAAGGGGACGACAGAGGAAGAGATGGTTGGATGGCATCACTGACTCAATGGACATGAGTTTGAGCAAGCTCCAGGAGATGCTGAAGGACAGGGAAGCCTGGCGTGCTGCAGTTCATGGGGTCACAAAGAGTCAGACATGACTGAGTGACTGAACAGCAAAATTTCTGTATCCCTATAATCCACCACAATTACTCGTGAAAGAATCCACAAATTATCTTTGACTTATGCTCCCTCCTCTTTTCCCTTAAAACAAAATCTCAATTTTATCTCCGCTACTTAATTCAAAACTCATCATCCTGGCCAAGACTACTACAGAAGCCTCGTCTGTCAGCCATATTATTGCCTTAAGTTCATTCTGATCACACTAGCCATGATTACTTAATAGCTAAGGTGAAAATCTGACCTCAGATTAAAAATCAATGACCCCCTCATAGCTTATATGCATTGTTTTCCAATATGCCAGACAGTGCTAAGCATTTTTATGAATTTTCTCATTCAATTTATTCACTCACGTATCATATCTATTGAACACCTAACACCCAGCATTGTCTGCTTCAGCCTTAGAGATACAGTCATTGTTGTTGTTGTTCAGTCATGAAGTCATGTCCTGCTCCTTGCAGCCCCATGGACTGCAGCATGCGAGGCTTCCTTGTCCTACACTGTCTCCTGGAATTTACTCAAATTCATGTCCATTGAGTTGGTGATGCCATCCAACCATCTAATCTTCTGTCACCCTCTTCTCCTTTTGCCTTCAATCTTTGGGCTTCCCTTGTGGCTCAGCTGGTAAAGAATCTGCCTGCAATGTGGGAGACCTGGGTTTGATCCGTGGCTTGGGAAGATCCCCTGAAGAAGGGAAAGGCTACCCACTTCAGTATTTTGGCCTGGTGAATTCCATAGACTATACAGACAGTCCATAGGGTTGCAAAGAGTCGGACATGACTGAAAGACTTTCACTTTCACTTTTCCTAGTATCGGGGTCTTTTCCAATGGGTTGACTCTTCACATCAGGTAGCCAAAGTTTTGGAGCTTCAGCTTCAGCATCATTCCTTCCAATGAATATACAGGGTTGACTTCCTTTAGGATTTACTAGTTTTATCTCCTCGTAGTCCAAGGGTCTTTCAAGAGTCTTCTCCAGCACCACAATTTGAAAGCATCAATTCTTTGGCACTCAGCCTTCTTTATGGTCCAACTCTCACATCTGTACATGACTACTGGAAAAACCATAACTTTGACTATACAGACTTCTGTTGACAAAGTGATGTCTCTGCTTTTTAATATGCTGTCTAGGTTTGTCATAGCTTTCCTTCCAAGGAGCAAGCGTCTTTTAATTTAATGGCTGCAGTCTCTGTCCACAGTAATTTTGAAGCCCAAGAAAATAAAATCTGCCATTGCTTCCATGTTTCCCCTTATATTTGTCATAAAGTCTTGGAACCAGGGGCTTCCCAGGTAGGTAAATAATCCCTCTGTAATACAAGAGATGCAGGCAGACACAGGTTCAGTCCCCAATTTGGGAAGATCCCCTGGAGGAGGGCATTTCAACTTACTCTGGTATTCTTGCCTGGAGAATCCCATGGATAGAGAAGCCTGGTGGACTACAGTTCACAGGGCAGCAAAGAGTCAGACATGACTGAAGTGACTAAGCAGGCACTCACACATGATGGGACCAGACGCCATGATCTTAGTTTTTATAAATGTTGAGGTTTAAGCCAGATTTTTCACTCTTTTCCACCCTCATCAAGAGGCTCTTAGTTCCTCTTCACTTTCTGCCATTTAGAGTGGTATTGTCTGTATATCTGAGGTTGCTGACATTTTTTCCAGCAGTCTTGATTCCAGCTTGTGATTCATCCAACCCTGCATTTCACATGACGTACTCTTCATATACATTAAATAAACAGGGTGACAATATACACCCTTGTCATACTCCTTTTCCAATTTTGGACCAGTCATTTGTTCCCCTACATGAATCACAACTTTGTTGTGGCAAATGGGCTTGTATAACTCAATGAAGCTATGATCTGTGCTGTGCAGGGCCATGCAAGAGGAATGGGTCATAATGAAATGTTCTGAAAAAACATGATTTACTGGAGAAGGGATTGGCAAACCCGCTCTAGTATTCTTGCCATGAGAACCACATGAACGGTATGTGAATGGTAAAAAGATATGATACCAGAGGGATCCCCCAATGGCTCAGATGGTAAAGAATCTGCCTTAAATTCAAGAGACCTGGGTTCGATTCCTGGGTCAGGAAGATTCACTAGAGAAGGGAATGGCAACCCACTCCTGTATTCTTGCCCAGAGAATCCCATAGACAGAGGAGGCTGGTGAGGTACAGTCCGTGGGGTTGCACAGAGTCAGACATGAGTGAGTGAATAACACACACACACACACACACACACACACACACACACAATACTGGAAGATGAGCCCCCCAGGTTGGAAGGTGTCCAATATGCTACTAGGGAAGAGAGAAAGACAATTACTAATAGCTCCAGGAAGAATGAAGTGGCTGGGCCAAAATGGAAAAAGCACTTAATTGTGGATGTGTTTGGTGGTGAAAGTAAAGTCTGATGCTGTAAAGAACAATATTGCATAGGGACCTGAAATGTTAGGTCCATGAATCAAGGTACATTGGACATGGTCAAGCAGGAGATGGCAAGAGTGAACATCAACATCTTAGGAATCAGTGAACTAAAATGGACAGGAATGGGCAAGTTTACTTCAGATGACCATTATATCTACTACTGCAGGCAAGAATCCCTTAGAAGAAATGGAGTAGCCCTCATAGTCAACAAGAGTCCGAAATGCAGTACTTGGGTGCAGCCTCAAAAGTGAGAGAATGATCTCAGTTCATTTCCAAGCAAACCTTTCAACATCACAGTAATCAAAGTCTATGCCCCAACCACTAATGCTGAAGAATCTGAAGTTGACCGGTTTTATGAACACCTATAAGACCTTCCAGAACTAACAGCAAAAAAAAGATGTCCTTTCATCATAGGGAATTGGAATGCAAAAGAGATACAGTCATAAACAAAACAAATTAATATAAAATTTGTGGAACCAGAATTTTCATCTTTTTTTCACTGCTGTTTTCCCAGATCCAGACAGTCTGATGTCAACGTCTAAACTGTTAACTCCAACCAGCCTTTTTTGCCTCATCTTTCCATTCTTTACATGGCATTTTTCCCTTAGGCAAAATTTAAAAGCTTTAGTTCACCACACAATTTGCTCTTCATTTCTCCTTTTCCTGGCATTCTTTGTTTTTTCCCAACTATATAAAGTGACATAATACCATAAAAAATAGCCTTAAATGTATACCAGTCATATATTATCAGCCATTACTAGGGAAATATGGAGTTAGAAACATGAGTCCAAGAGACTTAGAAAAAATTTTGTCTAACATAGACTTTATGATGTAAGCAATCTTAATCCCAGTTGTAGATAATGGAGCTATCCTTTAAAGTCCAGGAATCATAAATTTTAAAAAGACAGAATATAGTCAATAGCCTTCATCCAGGCTTGACTTCTTAATTTAAGAACTTTGTAGTTTTTGCTTTTTTTCTGAGTTTGGGCTTATCAATGTCTAAATTTTACCATGTCTTATAGATGAAGAGAAGATCAAAGTAGATACAGTGATGAAAGAACTGAGTACTGTTCTAGGTAAGTAAAATATTTCTTAATTCTTAACTGTTTTAATGATACTTCTCCCATCCCTTCATTCCGTTAATTTGCTATTCTAACCTTTCATTAACTAAACATTCTCATTTATCTGCTATGATTACCCATGCTTTTGCAACAGAGATACTAGGAAGGAAGGTATTCCTAGACAAGAATTCCAAGACAAGAATTTCAAAATTTGGGCAATAACTGAAATAATACTATATATAGACATAATTATTTGAATCGGTCATCAACATCACAATTTTCTAAACAATTATATTAGCCTCATATCATTATATGTAGAATTTTTCCCAACATTATGAGAATGTGTCTTTTACTATAGAGACAATGTTATATTTCTAAATCTGGTATTTACTCTTCATAATTCAATAACTGTCCTTAGGGTCTTGTTTTTCTAGCAATAAAGTATGCTGCTGTACAAACAAGTGTTTTGTTTATCTTTTGTAATTTGGATTCATTTGATAATGTTCCATAGCTTGGCAACAGCCTTTTCTTAATAGTGTGGAAATTATTTGTAGTCCTATTTCCACAATTTAATCCTCTATCAACCAAGACTACAAGAAAGACAATTAGGAACTGTCCAGATTTTCTCCTACTCTCTGAATAGGACATGCACTGTATTTTATACTAGGTCAGCCAAGGTGAGACTCAGTTTTCTCTTTTTTTATTCCCATGAGTGAAATGCATTATACTTGGGAATCTGTTCCACCAGGTATTAGCTATTTCCTTAGAAAAGATTCTATCCCTTTGGACTCTTTATAAAGAGACAAGATCTACTGAGACTGTTGAAAAGACATACACTTAGAATCATCTCTATAAAAGCTGGCTTAAAACTTAGCATTCAAAACACTAATATCACAGCATCAAGTACCATCAATTCATGGCAATTAGGTGGAGAAAAAGTGGAAGAAGTGGGAGATTTTATTTTCTTGGGCTCCAAAACCACTACAGATGGTAACTGCAGTAATGAAATTAGAGATGCCTGCTCACTGATAGAAAAGCTATGACTAAGCTAGATAGCATATTATAAAGCAGAGACATCACTTGGTCAACAAAGGTCTGTATAGTCAAAGCTATGGTTTTTCTAGTAGTCGTGTACGGATGTGAGAGTTGGGCCATAAAGAAGGCTGAGTGCCAAAGAACTGATGCATTCAAACTGTGGTGCTGGAGAAGATTCTTGAGAGTTCCTTGGTCAGTAAAGAGATCAAACCAGTCAATCCTAAAGGAAGTCAACCCTGAATATTCATTGGAAGGACTGATGCTGAAACTGAAGCTTGAGTACTTTGGAAACCTGATGCAAAGAGCCAACTCATTGGAAAAGGCCCTGATACTGAGAAAGACTGAGGGAGGAGAAGGGGGTGACAGAGGATGAGATGGCTGAATGGCATCACTGACTCAATGGACATGAGTTTGAGCAAACTCTGGGAAACAGTGAAGGACAGGGAAGCCTGACATGCTGTAGTCCACTGGGGTTGCAAGGAGTAGGACATGACTTAGCAACTGAACAACAACAAGAACATAATCAGAATTCTTTAAGTTGGCTTGACAGTAAAAAGCTGAATTATAAAGTTAGGATTGTCCTAACTCTAGTAAAGTGATTGTCTCTAATAAAATTAAACTTCAATAAGTTTTTATTAGTAGTAAGGGAGATTATGATTGGCTAAGTCAGAAATGTATGAAATTAAACAAGTAAAAAGAAAAACATGACAAAATAAGGATAAAAATGTATGAAAAGTATACAGTGCACTGACAGTCAGTGTTTTCTTATTCTAATGGTCTTGTGTGGAAGCTTTTGACGTTATGTAATTTTTGTTTCTTTGGAGCTTGGATTTTGGGTAAGCAAGTGACTTACAGGAAAAAGTGAAAATGCAAGTGTTAGTCACTCAGACATTTCCAACTCTTTGCAACTCCATGGACTGTAGCCTTCCAGGCTCCTGTATCCATGGAATTCTCCAGGCAAGAATGCTAGAGTGGGTTGCCATTCCCTTCTCCAGGGAATCTTCCTGACCCAGCAATTAAACCTGAGTCTCCGACATTTCAGGCAGATTCTTTACTATCTGAACCACCAAGGAAGCAACAACCTGCTTATTGAAGCTCTCAGTGGTCTTTAATGATGTAACTTTACAGTTCCGATGTCTCTTCTATTTTACCAGAGGTTTTGGTAGTCAAAAGATGATAAAGTTTCTAAATATTATGCAGAATCTTATATAATCATGAATGATTACCAAAATAAAATCAATTCTCTAAAATTGAATAGATAAGTTGGAATGCCCTCAGTAGGTATAGTAGGATAGTGTATCTACAAGTTTGTTAGCCAGTCTGAGTGTTATGAATTTTTGACACAAGAATGTTAAAAATCCATCCAGGAGGCTTCCCTGGTGGTTCAGTGGTTAAGAAAATCACTTTCTAATGCAAGGAACATGAATTCGATCCCTGGTCCCTGGTTGGGGAACCAAGATCCTCCACGCCATGGGGCGCCTAAGCGCATGTGTCGCAATTACTGAGCTCGTGAACTCTAGAGCCCACACATCCACAATGAAAGATCCCCCATGGTGCAACTAAGACCTGAGGCAGCCATAAATAAATAAATAGTTTTTAAAAATCCACCCAGAAAATAAACATACTATTAGTACATGTTCATAACTCAGAAGCAACTGTATAAAACCCTTTTGGATATGTTCAAAAAGGTCCCTTAAGGTGTGGCTTTAATCAAAATCTCACAGTTATAGATTTTCTAGAATTATTCTAGTTTCAGAGGAGGTTTGAATTGGCCATGTACTCTGATATCATGCACAAATGTCCTAATCAGTGTTTAATAATGTAGCGAACTTATTTCTGTAGCAGTCTGTTGTTTTATGTAGTGTTTTAGCAAGTATCCATTTGAAATTTTATCTGGTGCAACTAAGGAGCAATCCTGAATTGCCAGATATTAGCCTCATTGATATTGTAACCTGATCATTCCAATAGCTTCCTTAAAAAATTAGGTAAAATTTTGTGCTTAAATGGAATCTTTGAATCTGATCCTACACTTGTTTTTCTGATCTATAAGAGGTCCTTCTAAAAGGACTTTGGGTGCTTTTTTCTCCTCAGTAGTTATGTGAATCCTTAAAGTGGACAATGAAGGAAAAATGAATCCACTTCTGTTCCTCATATATGCATAGTTGGACCTCCGGGCATGAGAGAAGGGTCATCACTACGAAAACTGCGTCCAGTCACCCTGCCCTCCCTCTTCCATGGAATGGGCTCCGTTGCTCCCTGGCCGGACCCTATGGAGGCTTCTGTTTGACCCAGTTGTGTGGGAATGATGGTAGGAGTGCTCCAGCTTGTTTCATTAACAGCAAAGAAGAAGATCCAATAATAAATGAAATAGAAATTTTTATCATAAAAATTCAGTAATATATCTTTCCCAACTCTGAGGGAAACTCATTTATCTCTGGAATTACAAAGGAATAGCATATAAAATAACTACTGTTCATTACAGAGAAATGGGAAGGAGTAGAACAAAAGAAAAGTGAGAGCTCAGTAGAACACAAACAAGTACGTAGCTACCCGTGTACACTTTTCACAAACGTTCTGAGAAGATGCCCATTTCTAGCAGCATGCTGTGCTATGTGCCTGGATGTTGAAAACAACTAATAATGCGGATAGAATCTAATTTTAAAAGAATTCTTGAATGTTTCCGTAAATGTGTATCCTTAAGGAATATACATACCAAAAGCCTGGAACCCAAAGAAGAAGAGCCCTGAAGCCACATTTCATTCTCTAAGCATTTGCTGAACTAAGTGAACCTAAGCAGTTTTGGCTGTCTGCCAGAACTCAGTATGCTGAACTAAGTGAATCTAAGCAGTTTTGACTGTCTGCCAGAACTCAGTAGAAAGGAAGCAAATCCCAGAGCCTGCCCAAAGTAGGAAATATGGTGGGTTTGATCCACGGGTCAGGAAGATACACTGGAGAAAGAAATGGCCACCCACTCCAGTGTTCTTGCCTGGAGAATTCCATGGACAGAGGAGCCTGGTGGGCTACAGTCCGTAGGGTTGCAAAGAGTCGGTCACTACTGAGCAACCTGTAGTGAGCACACCTGCCCTAAAGCTAAGACTTGAAAAATTATGTATATAGCATAAGAGCGAATTAGAAATATGTCTCTGGACTACAAGGAAGACTGTCTAACTCAATTTATAAACACAAGATGACCTTTACTCAGGCTTACTTATCAAATTTGCACTAACTTAGGCTGAGAATTTAAAGTAATCCTAAAAGAAAATTTTAACTGTGGTATTGGAGAAGATTCTCGAGTGTCCCTTGGACTGCAAGGAGATCAAACCAGTCAACCTAAAGGAAATCACTCCTGAATTCATTGGAAAGACGGATGCTGCAGCTGAAACTCCAATACTTTGGCCACCTGATGTGAAGAACTGACTCATTGGGAAAGACCCTGATGCTGGGAAAGATTGAAGGAGGGAGGAGAAGGGGATGACAGATGATGAGATCACCAAAGGTTGGATCACCAACTCAATAGACATGAGTTTGAGCAAGCTCCAGAAGTTGGTGAAGGACAGGAAAGCCTGGCATGCTGCAGTCCATGGGATCACAAAGACTCAGACATGACTGATAACTGAACTGAACTGAATTCTGAAAGTTCTGAAGGATACTCATCTTCTCAAAACAAAGAATTTCACATACAAAGAAGTTCCTGGTCTAAAATTACTGAACACATTGGCACAATGAGTAACTAAGCATGGCATGATGAGTAACAGCCATCAAAAATAATGTATGATAGAATCAGATTTAGATTTTGGAATTATCAGACAAAAAAATGTTAAATAAACCCTCTTAATATATTTTAATAATTAAAAAAGAGGCCTTGAATATGTGAATGAAGAGCAGACAGATTTGATAAAGAACCAAAGAGATCTTCAAGAAATAAAAGCAATAGAAAGTTAAAACATTAGATGGATTGAATGGTAACTTTTAAAAAGCTGAAGAAAGAACTAAGGAACTTAAGAAGTTATAAAGTATGTAGCACAGAAAGACCAAAAAATGGAAAATGTGAAAGAATGATTAAGAGACATACAGAATAATAAGAAAATCTAATGTATTTTTAATTGGAATGTCAGGAAGAAGAGAGAGAATGAGACAGAATCAATATTTGAAGAGAACTTTCCAGAAGAGAGAAAGGATGTCAATTTAAAGAAGCCAAGTGAATCCCAAGCAGAATAAATAAAAACAAATCTGTACTGGACATACATACTTGAAATATGCAACATATCTAATTTATTGACTAAAAGTTTTGTATTCTAGACTTTATAGACAGTAAGCTTTCAGAGATTCATTTTCTGCTGATTTAAACCAAAAGACTTAACTAAACAAAAATTGTTTTTCCTTGCAAAGTATAAAAGTAATAATCAAAAAATTACTTACCATACAAACAGTGTAAAACAAAAATTATTATGGAAGCCTGAGGCCCTGTTTTTTTAAAGATACTTTCTAACAAGTATCAACTATACATGTTTTTATATACATTATATTAACTAGTTAATACAAGGCATATAATTTATATGCCTTTCTAGATGAAATTTATGTACCTAAGATTGCATTTCTCTTAGCATAATGCTAATTTCAAAGCTATCAGGAGAAATACTTAAATATCTATTTAGTGAAGAAAAGAACCAATATTTGGCTTTTTTTTTTTACCACTTACATAATCAAGGTGGTCATAAATGTTAGTTTTTTGTTTGTTTACAACACATTTTTAAGTACCCACGAAATTATAGTGCATGAGTGAAAATGTTACTAGTTAGCAGCTTTTGTTATAATAACTCACTGATAAAATTCTTTTTATCACCATTTCTGTCTTTTCTAGGAAAGCAGATAGATGTCAGTGACCTAGATAAAGCTCTGAAAGACATGAAAGTAGAAGTCACAGATAAGGAATACTTGAATTTAGTAAAAACTCTACCAGTTGATGGTAAGGATTTTTAAATTATATATGTTTTCTTCAAATGGCTTTAGAGTGCTTGATTGTGTAGTTTTCTTCTAAAATAACTCCGTATTGCTAGCAAGTTGTTATTTTTTCTTTTTGTAATAATTTTGGAAAACTTTTAGTACTTGATTTTTGCCGAAGAAAATCTGGGTCATTTAATTTATATTATGGTAGGCAATAGCTATTTCACTCATTCCTACCAAAAAATTATACATATTACTGTCTTTGATTCCACTAATATGCCTGATAGCAAGTGAAAGAGTGTGAAAATGGAAGAGTAAAGGGTACAAAGGAAGAAGTCAGAGATAAAAGAAAATCAAATGGGATATACAAGGTTTAGGGCGTCCTTGGTAGCTCAACTGGTAAGGAATCTGCCTGCAATGCAGGAGACCTGGGTTCCATTCCTGGGTTGGGAAGATCCCCTGGAGAAGGGAACATCTACTCACTCCAGTATTCTGGCCTGGAGAATTCCATGGACTGTATAGTCCATGGGGTCCCAGAGAGTTGGACAAGACAGAGAGAACAACTTTCACTTTTACACAAGGTTTAGACCAATAATCATTGTTTTTATCCAAGAGCTAATAGATTTGTCTCATTAAAGTCTTTCTCCTAACAAATTTTGTTACTATTTGAGAGCAAATAGGTACATTTCAGGAGAAAAGAATTATTAAAATTCTCTTTTTGAAATTATGGGATTAGGGGAAGAATTGCAGAATTTTTTTTTAGGTGAATCCCCTTTTTATTTTTTCTCTGACATGAATTATGCCTTTTCTTACAGTTGAAGGAAAGGTGTTTCAAAACAGGTTGCTAGACAGTGTGAAGAATCTTAAAAGTGAGTGAAAAATATGATGAGAAATCAAGTAAATCTGAGATATTATTGTATATTTTCACATATGCTAACTTATTTTTTTTACATTAAAAATCCCATATGTATACTTTCTCAATATTTATGCATGTGTTATATACATTGTGCCATAAATCCATGGAAAATTACCCAGTCCTTTTAAAATTTGCACTTTGTTGATTGAATGAAAGATAAAGTCGAATTATCAGTTGATCCTCCTTGTACCCTTGACTGGGTGTTACTGCACCTTAACGTCTTCTTGATTAAAGTGTTAACAATAATACACATGAATTAATGCAGATTTTTCTCACATCTTGATATCTTTCTTGCCTCTTATAAGGAGGAAAGATTGATGTGATTAACCTGGACACATTTTTGGAAAATATGGGGATTGAACTTTCACATGAAGAGCTTGAAGATTTTTCACAAAACCTGCCAGTTGATGGTGAGCATTGTAGATAAAAATATATTACCTTTAGGATATCTTAGGTTTGAGAGCATCTGTAAATTAATGATAGTACTTATTTGGTATTAACAGGGCATTTTGAAAAGCTTGTAGCCAAACTCAGGTCTCAAATGAAAACACATCCTTGTCTCTTCATTAATCCAAAACCAACAAATGTTTTCTGCTGTGAATAATAAAAATTGGTGAGAATACTAACAGATCAAAAAATGAAGAAGAGGAAGGAAGATAGAATGAGAACAATTTTAAAGAGAAGTTAAATAATAAGCCAGAAGAAAAAAACAAACTATAATGAGGGGTAATTAAAATTGACTAATGGTTGTTTCCAGTGTGTATGCCTCAGTTGTTCTGATATAAACAAGATTAAAACGAGACAAAACACTAAGAATTTTAAAAGAGGTATATAACTACAGATAGTATGCATAATGATACTCACTGTTGTGTATAATGTGGGATTAGGGTATTATATATATTAATACAATGAACATTTTCCAGTTACCAATATTAATCAAAGAAGAAATGAAAATATAAATAGGCCAATAATGATAGTTGGAAAAAACTATCAAATAAGTATACCTATCAACCACCACCCATCACTCCAACAAAAGGTGATAGGCCTGCAGAGTTTTGAGAATAAATTCCTTCAAATTTTCAAGGAATGTTTATTTTAATGTTAGCTAAACTGGTCCAGAGGACTCCAGTTCAAGATGATGAGAAAAATAAAGTCCATTTAGTCTTTATTTCCTCTAATACCTAACAAAGGAGCAACAAAAATGAAAAAGTAAAAAATCCACAAAGGAAATTTAACATCAATCAACTAATTAAAAAAAAAGACAAATCTAATGGCATAAATATTTAAAGGAGACAACCATGGAGACACATACGTATAGAGAATGGACTTCTGGACACAGCGGGGGAAGGAGAAGATGGGATGATTTGAGGAAGTAGCATTGACATATATACACTCCCATGTGTAAAACAGAGAGGTAGTGGGAAACTTATGTATAACACAGGGAGCCCAGCTGGTGCTCTCTGAGAACCTATAGGAGTGGGACAGGGGGAGGAGAGGAAGGAGGCTTAAGAGGGAGGGAATATGTATGTAATTATGATTGATTCACACCTTTGTATGGCAGAAACAAATGCAACATTGTAAAGCAATTTTCCTCCAATTAAAAAAAAAGATTCTAAAGTAGAAACTACTGCAACAGAGCTAGGCTCCTCTGAGCCTCTCCCCTCTCTCAGAAATTAAATTGGTGAAATCCAGAGAGTTATCACTAAAATGCCCAGATCTGGGGTGAAGAAAACTGGGTACATAACTTTTTTCTATCTCCATTTATGAGGAAGAAGTAGAAACCGTTGTTGCGGAGAAGTGGCTACAACAGAGAAAATGAATGATTGGAGTCGCTCATTGACAGAAGTAAAAGCTTCAGATCTATAGACTGAATCGGGGGTCTAATCTGAAGCCCAAGAATACCATCCCATAGATAGATCTGGGGTTTGGTGAAATGTCTTTACCAGGGTCTCAGAGCAATGACCCCTGTTGGGACATTTAACCAAAGTTCAGATACGAGAGCAGGGCTCAAGTATAAGACCACGTGACATACCTCACTCCACCCTTAGATTACAGTAAAAGTGGGTAAAACAATTTTCTTCAAATGCCATCTCACTGAAGAAAGCAAACTGGTTTCACATGCTGTAGAAAGGGCTATTAAAAGATACATTAAATCCTGAGAATAAAATGAAGATCTGGACAGAGTTGCTGAAGCATATGCAAGATGGAAAAAAAAAAAAAGGATATGGTGACAATTCTAGCATTAACACAGTGAAGAAAAACAGAAAAGTGAAAAGGGAAAGTAAGAAGATAGGATGAAGGAAGATAGCATGCAAAAGAAAAATAATCCATCAAGTAGAAAATATAACCTAAGGAACAAAGAAAAAGAGGTTGTTGACAATTAATTCATATTACAGGACAACTTTAATGGATTCAGTAAAACTAAAGCTCAAAAATGAAATGGTACCATAACATATAAATATAAAAAGGGAAATTGCAGAAGTAAAAAAAGAATAAGCACAAAAAGTCACTATAGAATTATTAAGGAAATTATAAACATCAAAATTTAAAAATATAAAGAGCTAAAAATCATATTACAGTGTGAGCAGACTTGGTACAGTAAATACAGAGAAAAAAATTAAAGTTATAAAAAAAATCTAGTAGATATGGATGATTCACAAAGACATCCACCATAAGAATATCAAATATCTTTAGAAGAGAGTACAAGAATTAAAACTTTTTAATCAATGATAGTTTTTAAAAAAGAAAATTTATAAACTGGTCAACCACTTGTAAAAGAATGAAACTGGAACACTTTCTAACACCATACACAAAAATAAACTCAAAATGGATTAAAGATCTAAATGTAAGACCAGAAACTATAGGCAAAACACTCTCCGACATAAATCACAGCAGGATCCTCTATGACCCACCTCCCAGAATATTGGAAATAAAAGCAAAAATAAACAAATGGGACCTAATGAAACTTAAAAGCTTTTGCACAACAAAGGAAACTATAAGCAAGGTGAAAAGACAGCCCTCAGATTGGGAGAAAATAATAGCAAACGAAGCAACAGACAAAGGATTAATCTCAAAAATATACAAGCAACTCCTGAAGCTCAATTCCAGAAAAATAAATGACCCAATCAAAACATGGGCCAAAGAACTAAACAGACATTTCTCCAAGGAAGACATACAGATGGTTAAAAAACACATGAAAAGATGCGCAACATCACTCATTATCAGAGAAATGCAAATCAAAACCACAATGAGGTACCATTACACGCCAGTCAGGATGGCTGCTATCCAAAAGTCTACAAGCAATAAATGCTGGAGAGGGTGTGGAGAAAAGGGAACCCTCCTACACTGTTGGTGGGAATGCAAACTAGTACAGCCGCTATGGAAAACAGTGTGGAGATTTCTTAAAAAACTGGAAATAGAACTGCCATCTGACCTAGCAATCCCACTTCTGGGCATACACACCGAGGAAACCAGATCTGAAAGAGACACGTGCACCCCAATGTTCATCACAGCGCTGTTTATAATAGCCAGGACATGGAAGCAACCTAGATGCCCATCAGCAGACGAATGGATGAGGAAGCTGTGGTACATATACACCGTGGAATATTACTCAGCCATTAAAAAGAATTCATTTGAATCAGTTCTAATGAGATGGATGAAACTGGAGCCCATTATACAGAGTGAAGTAAGCCAGAAAGATAAAGACCATTACAGTATACTAACACATATATATGGAATTTAGAAAGATGGTAACGATAACCCTATATGCAAAACAGAAAAAGAGACACAGACGTATAGAACAGACTTTGTGAAGTAAGCCAGAAAGATAAAGACCATTACAGTATACTAACACATATATATGGAATTTAGAAAGATGGTAATGATAACCTTATATGCAAAACAGAAAAAGAGACACAGACGTATAGAACAGACTTTTGGACTCTGTGGGAAAAGGCGAGGGTGGGATGTTTCAAGAGAACAGCATCGAAACATGTATATTATCTAGGGTGAAACAGATCACCAGCCCAGGTTGGATGCATGAGACAAGTGCTCGGACCTGGTGCACTGGGAAGACCCAGAGGGATCAGGTGGAGAGGGAGGTGGGAGGGGGGATCAGGATGGGGAATACCTGTAATTCCATGGCTGATTCATGTCAATGTATGACAAAAACCACTACAATATTGTAAAGTAATTAGCCTCCAACTAATTAAAAAAAAAAAAAGAAAATTTCTATAAAATGAAGGAATGAATGCAGATCAAAAATGTCACACCAGGCTCCAGAAAATGTTGATCCAGAGTACTCTACAGTGAAATATTTTCTAGGTTGCTCACTGAACCTTAAGGAAAAATGAGAATTTTTCAGACACACAGATGATAGAAAGCAGGTAACAGATGAGGAGAGGAAGTGATGGGTTTCCAAAGCCACATTCAACTCCAAAAAGAATGTCAGAGTATCTACAAAGGTGAAAAAGAAAGTGTGACAGAGTATTATGTACAACTATGATGTCATTCAAATATACATAAAAATTTTATATATAAATATAAAATTCCAACTTTTAATAATGGAAAAAACTAAATGAATTCAGCACCTCTTGAAAAAAAGATGATGAAATATAGTTAAGAAATAACTGAAAATTGAGCAAAAGGAAACAATGGTGAAAATACTGGTGGTGACCTGTAACTCTGTTTGAATATAGAGCAAGTACTAGACCATTGTGGGGATGATAGACATAAAATAACATGTTATATGTGTCAGTGTAACAATGATAGCATAACTAATAAAAACATGAAAGTGAGGGGAGAAATGGGAGGAAGTGAGAAAATGCTTTTCATAGCAGGAAATCAGGTGATAGTTTTTAAAATTGAAAGATTAAGTTTGAAAATATGGTTTCACCTCTGTTTTTCATATTCTTTTAAAATTAACTGGATAGCTTCATAAATATCTCTTGTACTAAGGTATATTTATTAGAAATTGAAGATTCTTATTTTTAAAACCATATTTATAGTACTTTTTGAAACTAATTCTCCTTATATCTATCTTACCCGTGCAACTTCATAGAACAGAGTCTGTGGAATAACCAGTGATCATTTCTATGGGAGATAGGATTTGGAGTAATGTCTTTCCTTTTCCTAGTACATAGAGAAATATATAATACATAGAGAAAAGTGTGTAAAACTTGAATTTCCTGTGTAACTAATGGTTATAAAACAAACAGCTGTATACTCTCCACCAACATCTAAAATCCACCATGTGTTCTCTTTCCCAACACTGCCCACTCAGTTTATTCATATTTTACCACATAAATATGCATCTCAAATTTTATAGTTCACCCATATTTTGAACTTCATATGAGTGGAGTCACACAGCAAGGAACATTTTGTCACTGGCTTCTTTTTAGTGAGTGTAGGG